TTTATTATATAGGATATATATTTTATTTATTTATAAATGTTGCTATATTTATTTTAATATATTTACTATAATATTAGTGTATATTTATTTATATTAGATTTTAAATTTTATATTGTGTATATTATATAATATATGCAGTTGACCCTTGAACAACATGGGTTTGAACTACACAGGTCCACTTATATGTGGATTTTTTATAGTACAGTATTGTAAAGGTATTTTCTTGTCCTTAATATTTAATAATACTTTTTCTCCAGCATACTTTATTGTAAGAATACAGTATATAATGCATAGAACATACAAAAATGTGTCAAATTGACTGCTGATGTTATCAGTAAGTCTTCCAGTCAACAGTAAGCTACTAGTAGTTAAGTTTTTGAGCATCAAAAGTTGTATGAAGATTTTTGGCTGTGTGTGTTGGGAGGGATGAGGGGGTCAGCACCCCTAAATTGTGCATTGTTCAAGGGTCAGCTGTATATGTTTTATATATTTGTGGTTGTATTTGTGAAAAATAGTTGCCTTGTTCCCAAAAGGGTTTAAGGCAGGTCATAATGATACAAAAACTGTAGGAGAACACAAATTTTAGAAGAAAACTCCATTATAAAATTGTTCCTGCGCAGAACATGAAAGGTCCAAGTAATAAGCTGAAGAAAAAAAGCAGGAAAGGAAAGGCAAGGAAAAGAGAGGGAAGAAGGAAGAAAAGAAAGGAGGGAGAAAAATGTAAATGAAAAACACACTATTTGCAGTCTGGGATTGACTACAAACCTAACTCTAGCTGTCTTCAACATAAACTTCCATTTGCCAACACAGAAACAGCCATGGTTAATGTAAAAACAATTAATAGATTTTTCCAGCAGAGGTAAGCATTGACAGTCCAGATTAGCTCCTACAACAACATGTAAACCAAGACTCCCCAGAGCCTTGTGGATGGGAAATATATTAATATCAACTCGTTGACCACTCAAGCACCATGACACGAACTGTCTGTTCAGGAGGTCATTTCCAAAATGTATCCCATACATCTTCATGCACAAGAGATGATAATTTATCACCTAGACATAGGGATCTACTGTAAACTAATCCAAACTGCTGATGATACACTAAATCAGTTTGAGTGATGAGTATAAATAAAGCTGCAAGCGAAGTACTGAAGGATACAGATCTATCTGATCAATGAGATGTCACAAGGCAAATGAAATGCAATGTTGACAAACATAGAGTCCCCTCAGTTGAGAATTAACCAAATCATGTATCAGAGCATAAAGGCACACATTAATATAAGTTTAATATAATAGGAGTTTGAGGCTATATTCTTTTTCAGATAAAACTGAAGAGACTGGGTCAGTAAGGGTGTATTAAAAATTGATGTATTTTTGCATACCACCAAAAAAGCGACAGGCTAAAGAAAAACTTTGCAAAACAATAATCCTTTCCAAATAATATAACTAGAGTTATTCAATCTGCTGAGCAAATCCACAGATGAGGAAAAACAATAAAATTTTTATACAGAAAGTGATTTCACATCAACTCGCTACCAGGAAATCAAATTCAATTTGTGTTGCCCTTATGAAAGCTTAGATATTTTCTGGAACTGTAGCACTACAACTTCAGGGGGAAAAATAAAGGATTGGGGATAGGAAGGACATTCCTCCAGACAGTTGATATTCATGGAGGGCACTCCTTGAGAAAAAAGATTTTCCCAACTATGTGATCAGAATAGACACTTGAGCACCCGTCAAATAGGTTCAATAGAATTCAGCTATTCTGAAGGTGTCCCGAATGGAAAGAGCTGATTATAGTAAATTTCAACCCCTGCTGGAACAAATCTGTAAGAATATTTTCTAAGAGAAATTATTCTTCAACAAATTTATTTATATTTTTCTTTGTTGTGTTAAGTATATGTAACTGTCATAACATATTTAACTCTTGCTTTGTATTTTATCTGTTAGTTTATTTGGGTAAAGATAGAATTATACTACTAAAATATGACCTAATCCCATATGTAGTTTATTTAAATTTCAAAATGAAAAGCTTACTAAGAACAGATAAGATTGATTGCTCTTTCTGTCTTAGCATAATTGTATTTCAGGTGAACATCAATTTACTTTAAAGGACACTTCTAAGTAGCAGAATGCATCATAAATAATTCATCAATCACAGCTGCTAGAAACATGATTTACTTCAACAGATTCAATGGAATAAAAGTTCTATTTTTCTATATTTGTGTTTGCTTTAAAATGTTTAAGAATCCTCCTTGTTTAAGAATCACTCTTAGATTCCATACTTCATATTTTAAATGCAGTATAACGCTGCTTCTTTTTTCTTCTTTTATTTAAAACACTGTATTTCCAATTTTAAAAACATTTAAGTATCTTAGGAACAAATAACAATTTACGCATATCAACAGTAAAACAACAACAACATAAAAGGCACATGTCTGAAAAATTGCATTAAGATTTTAAGTCTAACATAATTTATTTTCACTTTACATTAACTTTTATATCGAAGGAAAGAGAAGTAGGCTTTTAGAAAATCCTATGCCACTTATTTAGAATCTCACATATTTGAAAAATACTTCAATTTAAAAATGCATGTTTAACAGATCTAAATTGCATAATAGTTCAAGTTTTACCAGTTGATACAGTGAGAATCCTATCTACCACTTTCATTTGTCATATGGAAAGACACTGCTTACCTTATTCATCTTAAAGTTTTCCGTCAAATGCAGCAATTTTGTATTGGCAATTTCTCAAGCTGTGAAATATCTTTAAAATAAATATATTGACAAGGAAAATGTAAGAAAAAATAGAAAGCATTTTACTCACTTGCAAACCCCTTTGAAATACTGAATGGCCCATAAAATTAGCCAGCATTCTAATTAGAGCAGCACCCTATAGGAAAGAGTATGAAAAAAAAAAAAGAAAGAAAGAAAGAAAAGAAAAAGAAAAAGAAATTTCAGTGAAGTAATATGATTCTACAATTATCCTATATCAATTAAAAATTCTGCTTCATTCATGCTGCTGTATTTTTAGAAATAGAAAAGAAACAAGAGAATCATGAATACAATATCCCACCTTACAGATAACAATTGAATTTTTTGTTTTGTGGATCTAAAAGTTCTGTGGATATAAAACCAGTGACTTCTGGCCAGTCTCCTGGACAGAGTGAGTATCTCAAGGCAATAATAAGCTGTAATTCAAGAGTAATAAAATTTTTATTGAACACCATCTATGACAGAGTTAATAAAACATGGTTCTTGTTCTTACAAGCTCATAATCTAGTAAGAGAGGGATACCCATGTTAATAAATAATCATATTAAAATAGAGCTTTGGAGTAACATAGCCATTTACTCTACCCCTGGCTCAACTAAAAGTTGAGCTACAAAAGTGGAAAGTAAGGAATACCAAGTGTTTAGACTGCTTGGGTTCAAATCCTGGCTCTGACACTTATCTTGCTATGTTTACTCAAGAAAATTATTTAACCTTTCTGTTCCTCACTTGTCTCACCTTGTAAAGTGTAGGCAATACTAGGGCTTATGTAATGTAATTGTTCTGAAGCTTACATGTAAGGCAAACTGGGTCTGAAAAACAGTAACCGTGATATGAGTATTAGCTCTCAGTATTAGATCGGGCTACTTGTTTTAATTTCCTATCTACTTTGTTTAGAGGCTGGATGGAGCCTTATGTCCAGGAAAAACATGTGATCGATATAAATATTTAGAATAATAAAAGAAAATACTAGTTTAAGAGTTTACCTCACCTATAACAGTTATAATACTGTGGAGAAATATCAGTGAGAAAGGGTAGACATGTAATCAATATGAAACATTCCAAGTGATGATGAAGCCTGGATAATCACAAATTTGTGTGTGAAATATAAATAAGACTTCAAGAACATGTTTCATAGTCTGCACTAGGTTGTTTAAGTACGAAGCAATGGGTTACAAGCAGCAAAAGTATAAATATAAATGATAGCCTGGTTTTAGGGGGAAAAAAATCCCTTGACGACTACATACCCCACTTCATCCTTATTACAAATTCACACCCTCCAACAGCTCATTTCTTACTCGTCATTTGTTTTTTATAAGAGAATCATTAAGAACCACACATGGATTCATCCTGCCGGGAACTGAACTGTGGCAGTCGGTCCAGTAACAAAAATGAATTTCTATTGTTTGCTAAAAATTGTTTCCTCTAACTCTGGAATTTTAATGCAATCCAGTACTCAGCTCCACGAACTGTCATTAAAGAAATGTCTCAAAAAATTTCAATCATCACCAAAAATGTTCCCAAAATTGGTGTTTTAATAAATGCTCAATAAATGATAAGCTGGACAAGCCATAAAGTTTTATGCCTCTTCTGATGTATTTTCCTCCCACACCTTCTACTCTTTGCTCTTTCTTTTGCTTCTTCCTCTTTATCTTCTGCACACTTGTGTAAGTCCATAAAATATAAGCATTTATGATTCAATCAGAGGACCAGGTTAGAATTCCCTCTAGAACTTATCAGCTCTGCTCCTTGAATTTCCTTGACAAGCTCTCCTCCTATACATTTCCCAGTCTAATCTACCCACCCAGAGGGTAGAAACTGTCAGTTCTGCAGCGAAACTAACCCTTGCCACTTGGGAAATGAAACTTAGAATCTCAAGCAGTCAACTCAAACTTTCCTTCAGAACAGAATAGTCATCTTCAGATGATTTGTTTCCCTCCAGGTAATGATGACTTGGTCTCTTGTCAGGCTATAAAAACTATCAATTTAGCATGGTCTAATGGCAAAAGAGTTCTTTCTAATCATAAAGAATGTACCCGTTTTCCTGTCTGGGTTGAGTGCTAATAGGAAATAAAACCTAGAAATATAATCAATATTTAAAAGTTATATAATACCACTGGACTTATTTTATTATTATACTGTGTAATTTAGTTAACTTTTAGAAAATATGTCTGTGTTGCCCACTTGTACATTTAAAATTCTCCGGAGTAGCATGCACTTTTCTATATTTAACTAGCCTTTTCTTTCCAAAGCTAAATTTTGAAAATCCCTATATCATAGAACTGCATAGACAGATGGGCTCTCCAACTGTTATCATTCAGCCAACATACACTGAGCACCTACTAGGTATGGATTATAACAAAGATCACACCTCTTAATGCAGGCATAACTCACCACAAACTTTTTTTTTTTTTTTAAAGAAAACACCAAATCCCCTTCCAGCTTGCCTTTAAAACCAGGCAAATACCATTTAAAATATTGTAACTTATATTCACCTGTTATTCAAAATTCTAGACCCATTCAAACAAAATGGATGTTAGACAGCCTAAGTAGATTTATGGGAAATAAATACACTGTGCAAGATTTTTTATAATTTTAAGACTCGCTCAAGAAAAGCCATCACTGTGTTTGCTATACTAAGGTTCAGGGAGATATAAGAATGGAAGCTACTGATTTCTTTTAAGGTTTCATAAAGAATATTCCGAAAAAGTATGCTTATAAACCCATTCCTCATGTAGTAATTCTCCTATGTGGAGTATTTTTTCATATAAGTTCTCAGCTAAAATTTCTTTCATTTTACATTGTACTCATCTGTATGCATGCCAGTCTTATAGACATCTCCAGAGAAAGGACTGTGTCCTCATGATTTGGTACCCCTGCTGCCTTTGCCTGGCTCAGAGAAGGTGCTCTCTTAACGTTAGAACTGCATGAGAGAGAAAGCTAAATTAGTAAAGGTACAGCAATTACTTTGTATTCTTGAAGACTGCTCAGCCAGAATACACAGTTTATTACTTTATCAGTGTACTTTAGTGATAAGTAATCACTTTGGAAGAGAGGAAGATCTTCTCACCTAATTTATTCCTTTAACATATGCTTATTGAGTAAGGCAGTGTACTCGGTATCCTGTAGAATACAAATAGGAACGCCATAAGTTTCTGTCCTCAAGGACCTCAAAGCCTCTTAAGTGAAATGAGAAGATACAATATATTATATGATGAATAACAAAGAAATAAAATACTCTATTGTGTTTCAGAAGGGGGGAAGTTCTTATATCTGGGGGGCTGAAGGATAAAGGGGAATCTAAAAACGTGATGTTTGGGTTGGACCTTGAAGGATGGACGGGATTCCAGGAGCAAAGTTAAACAGAGAGTATGGTATGGCAAATGGCCTTTGTATGGTCATGCAGGTGTGAAAGTGAGAAGCACAAGTAGGGAAGGTGATACTGAGGGACAAAGGGTATAAACCCAGGCAATAGAAGATTTGATGGAATATAAGATTTCAGCAGTCATTAGAGAAGAGTGAATACCAGGGCTAGGAATTAGATCTTATTTAGAAGATGAGGAAGGATTTTGGAAAGGTGGTTTTAAAAATACAGTTGAGCCTTGAACAACACAGATTTGAACTGCACAAGTCCACCTACATGCAGGGTTTTTTTTTCCAGTAAGTATAGTACGGTACTATAAATGTGTTTTCTCTCCCTTATGATTTTAATAACATAGTATTCTCTTACTTCACTGTAAGAAAATAGAATATAATACATATAGCATACAAAATATGTGCTAATTGACTATTTATGTTATGGGTAAGATTTCCAGTAAACAGTAAGCTGTTAATTAGGGCACCTCGGTGGCTCAGACATTAAGAGTCTGCCTTCGGCTCAAGTCATGATCCCAGGGTTCTGGGATCGAGCCCCACATCGGGCTCTCTGCTCAGTAGGAGGCCTGCTTCTCCCTCTCCCACTCCCCCTACTTGTATTCCCTCTTTTGCTGTCTCTCTCTCTCTCTGTCAAATGAATAAATAAAATCTTAAAAAAAAAAAAACCAGTAGGCTGTTAATAGTTACGTTTTGGGGTAGTCAAAGTTATACATGGGTTTTTGCATAGAGTGTCAGTGCCCCTAATCCCTGCATTGTTCAAGGGCAAGTGACTTATCTATGATACTCTAAGAAGGAAGTAAAAGAACTAGAAGCAGAAACAAATAATGGTCACAATAAGGATAAACCAGAGATCAGTTTAAGGAATAGAACAAAGATCACTTTAAACCTTAAAGTTTCAGTGACTGGAAGATGGTATTAGCAGATATATAGAATTTAAAAGAAAGAGTTAGGTGAATATGGTAACATCCATTTAAAACATGTGGAGTTTGAGGAACAGGTAGGGAACCAGAAGAATAGAAGGCATAGGTGACCACAGGAATGAAATTCAGTGGCAGGTTATGATTGAAGACCTAAATTAGCATTTGTAGTGGAATATTCTTTATGAAACCTTAATGCTAAGAGAAAAGCATTGAGGTTTTAGTGAAGGAGAGAGAAAACAGAATTTTAGACTCTCTCTCCAGAGTCTGTATGATCTGCACTTGAGTGTCCATAATAGGTACCTAATAAATAACTGCTGAGAAAATCAGTGCAGATATGGAATTAAGAGCAAAAGATGACACATTGTGATGAAAAAACAGAAGTAGCACTGGGTTTAAGTAGTGTCATGTTTTAAGACATGTTTTAAGAGTAAGTGCTTCAGGGCGCCTGGGTGGCTCAGTTGGTTAAGCGACTGCCTTCGCCTCAGGTCATGATCCTGGAGTCCCTGGATCGAGTCCCACATCGGGCTCCCTGCTCGGCAGGGAGTCTGCTTCTCCCTCTGACCCTCCCCCCTCTCATGTGCTCTCTCTCATTCTCTCTCTCTCAAATAAATAAATAAAATCTTTAAAAAAAAAAAAGAGTAAGTGCTTCAGTTTTTAAGGGAAAAAGTAGCTGAGAAGGCCATAGTAGGTCACATTTAAGAGAGAGCTATTTAAGTAGACTTGGTGTGAAAGCCAGGTTGAAAAACAATGGAAACAGAAGGAAAAAAGAAAAAGCAATAAGCATGTCCACATGAGGTTTGTTTGTATTTTTCTTTGTAAGATTATGG